GTTCCGTGGCCGGCGGTGAGGGATGTTTACATGCGCCCCTTCCTGGAATTCCGCTCCGCCTCAGGAGTGGGCAATTAGAGAGAATTAGGGCCTATTTGGCGTATGTGCACCGTTAATGGAGAGAATGGCGAGGCAGCCTTGGGAAAGGCCGTCTGCTGGTCTAATTGAGGCTGGCGATTTTCTGATCCCTTGTTTCAGCTTGCAGGTAACCAAGGTCACCAAACAAAGGCCGCGGCCCACCGTGGTAATGAGGGGTGCGGGCCTGAGCGGGTTCCCGGAGCCGTCTATTACGTGCGCTGGAGCACAAAGAGGTTGCTGGGGCTGTTTGCAGAACCAGCACTGAGTGGGGCAACGCCACAGGCCCGGCCACTGATCGCTTTTCCAGAACTTGCCACCTGATGGCTTTTTCAGGAAGTTCTCAGCTGAGCGGGCCAGGGTGCCAACTGGGGTGCTGCCCATTGCCTGGGGTCTCATGACCCAGAGGTGCAGAGTGAGCCACAGGGGAAGGTGCGGCCGCCACACCCTCCTGGGACGGCAGCCATGGGCCAGTCTCACTCATTACAGTGACCGCTCCACAGTCCAAAGAGGTTCTCCAGGCCTGGCCAGCGGCCCAGCCATTTGGAAAAGTGCTCCATTAAATGCAACGCTTGCACCAAACAGCCTCTTGGACTAGTGTGGGGCGGGGCATGAGCACTGTTAGAATCTGTTCACGGGAAGCTGACCAGGAAGCCTGCTACTGACTGCCACCCACTGTCAGGCTGGTCAAGCAGAGCCAGCCACCGCAGCGGATGTCATATCGGGCCTGCCACCTCAGCTCTGGTTTTGTCATCTCTAAAGTAGACCCCTTGGAAGGTAGTGGACCAGTAATCTCAGCCCCTAACTCTAAAGACCCAGCAAACAAACACCAACAGGTGACAGAGGGCCACCAAGGAAGCTGGAAGGGACCCAGAGTTCCCAAGGCCCTCAGATAACGGTGAACAGGCACCACCCCATTTCACGGATGGGAAAACTGAGGCCCGGCGGTGTGGAGACAAGGGGCAGCGTAACACCCACAGCTAGTGCTGCGCATAGGCTGGAACCAGGTGTCCAGAAGGCCTCTTAGGGCTGCTGTCTGACCCTGAGTCCCGAGCAGCTCTCCTCTGACCACCCGACCATCCATCCCAAGTAGCAGGGGCAAGGGGGGGGACCTTCATCCCGTGTCCAGCTAGGAGACTAGTGGGGCCCAATTCGGACACTTGGGGCCTCTGCCCCCTCCTCTGGTGAAATGGGGCACTGGCCTTTCCAATACTGACATCCTGAGCTGCTTCTTTCTGCCTGTGGAATATGCAGACCTAACAGGCTACTGCGTCACTTTACAGATGGGGAAACTGAGGTCCTGAAGCCAGTGGTGACAAAGACATCAGCCAAGACTGAGACCTGGGACTCCTTCCTCCCAGGGCAGGGACTTATCCTGGTCCCAAGGAAAGGGCCCAAGCCCTCAGGGTAGTTTAGGACAGTGTGGGGCAGTGGTGGCACTGTTCCAACTCAACAGGTTCCCCTTGCTCAGAGCTGTCCCTGCTCCCGTGGGCCATGCCAACTCTCCCCCATTGTCCTCGACCCCAGCACAGTCCCCTGGATCCCCGAACCCCCAGCCCCAACTTCTTAGCCTTGAGGGAAGGATCCTCTCCACCCCCGGGGCGGCCTCAAGAAAGGGCCGGGAAGGCAGCTGCGGCCCTGGGCGGCCAGCACAGACGTGCGGTCAGCCTTTGGCCCCCTGACTGTCCTCCTTCCCCAACTTTCCATCCCCGAGTTCTGTCCTTGGCCCCATTCTGTCTCTCTGGCTGTCTCTCGGGCGTCCGGCCCGGTTTGATCAGATTCTTGTTTATAGGCACAGCCACCGATTCTTCCTCCTGAGAAACTCGCAAAAAAGAAAAGCCCGAGAACACGGAGCGTGAGCATGGCCAGGGTCGCGCTGCCGGGGTGGCTGGCCGAGCGTGCCATTGTGTGGCCTCTTGTCTGTGTCTCTGGAGGCGCACACAGGGCAAGGGGGCCCCAGGGGCAGCGGCCCCCAGAGGGGACACACACACTCCCACACCCCCCTTCTCAGGGGAAGGTAATTGAGGTTTTCTTCTTTTCATCTGAAGAAAAGGCACCTTCTATTGAAAGGATGCATTCAGAGACCTGGGAAAACTCATCTGCACTCAGCCCTCCCAATTATCCCCAGGTGGCTGTGCTCCACGGGGGCTCCCCCACATTCCTTTCTGCCCGCGCCTTTGTTCCCCTCTGAACCGGCCCTGGGAGCTCCCAGGCTAAGAGTCTCCTCCTTAAGCCCCTGCCAAAGGCCCTATTCACTGCGCAGAGAGAAGCCAAGCAAAAGGTGGTGGGGAGCCTTCCTTTGCCCCGACCCCCAGGGTGGGGGACTTAAGAAGTCTCCATCTGGATTTTTTTCTAAGCCCAAAGAAATTGGAGAGCAATTAGGAGAGTCGTGACTATACCCTCGGCCATCCTCTCCCTTAATTAACTCCTCTCTCACACACATCCCCCCAAATTGGGGCCCACCCCGGCCTCAGCCACCCAGCACCTGCTCTGCTCGCTGGTCCCCATGACCACCAAGGGACTTAGGGGGAAGGGAGCTGAGGAGACAATTACAGACGTGCCTGGAGACTTTCTAATCACACTTAGTTCCCCAAACAATGGCTGGAGGCATCAGCTTTCCAACGAAGACTGGAATATGAGTCCCAGTGTCTAAAATCCGAGAAGCACTGGAAACTCCGGGAGGTATGGGCACTGACAAGGTGCACCTCTCCAGCGCCGGGCAGCTTGCCTTGGCACAGGTAGGGGGTCCCTCCACCTCTATTGGATCCAAATGGACTTGGGACCCACCTTCCTGTCCCATCCCACTGCAGTGCCAGGGCTCCCATGAGGGACACAGTTGAGGACTCCCTGGGGCTCTGAAATGCTGACTCATTTCTCGCCAGGAAGGGGCGCCTGCCTCCGGGACCCTCTTCCTTCAGCCTTTCCAAAGGGCAGGGGCTGCCGGTGGGCACAGGCACACAGTGACACCCTTCCCTCCTGCCCTACTCAGACTTGCCAAATGGGAACCCCCACACTTGAGAGGATCTCATTTGGAGAGATGCAACGCTTTTTCAGAATATTTCATCTGCTAAAACCGGGGATAGGAGACCAAGCTACACTCCCCTATTTGTCTCTGAGGAGATGGGACAGGGCTCAGAGCAGCAGAGGGGAAAGGGACCTAGCTCTGGGGACTTGTCCACAACTTGGTAAACTCCAAGCTTCCAGTAAGAAAAGTAGCGCCCAGACCCGTCCCAGTTCAGCCAACAGTGCTGGGCTGGTTCCTCCATTGGCCACGGCCCTGTAACCCTGAGAGACCTGAATTTGTGCCAATTCTGCGTAAAGCCACCTTCCTTCTTTTCAAGGAAAAATTGTGTAAATTCTGTGCAAAGCCACCTTCCTCTTTTCAAGGAAAAATTCATTAGCAAGCTCGTTAAAGACGGCAGATTCTTCTCTTTCTGGAAGTCAGGCTGCACAGAGAAACACATCTAAGTTACGGCACGTAAATGAGTGAATAGGAAACACGTGCGCTGTGTTGCCCTTGGTCTTGCCAGGTTCTGACGTTACGTGGAGAAATTTTCTGGGAAAAACACTGGGGGTCTGACTGGGGGCTGAGCGAGGGGGCACCCTCTCCCTTGACACGCAGCCCCCTTCCCATCCACCCGGGGGAGGCGGGCGGGGCAGGAGGCCCAGCTTCCAGACAAGACCACCAGCCTTCCCCGACATCTGTGCCCACCCAGGGGCATCCGGGTGGAAGCAGACCCCGGGAACAGCCTAGTGTAAGGACAAAATGGCCAGAGAACCTCCGCCCACCATGGTGACAGGATCCCCTGGATGGTCAGAGTGTCATTCCCACCCCTTCCTGCTCAAGGATGGACCAATGCAGCAAAATAAAGGATTATGCTCAAAATAAATACTTTTCAACACCTAACAATGGCCCTTCTTCAATTGGGAACTTGATCTATTTTCATCTATTTTGTGCTTGTGCCACACGAACCCCAAAATGTGTGACTGACCATTCTCAAGGGTGCCTGAAATATAGCCCAGCCCGCAGTCCGACCACCCCTAACTGCTGAGCAGGGTGAGGGACCGGGAGGAGGAAAGTCCAGGACTCGCTGGCCACTGGGTCCCACCTGACGGGTTCCTGAGGTGCCCAAAAGGAGGAGTCTAGAAGCCCTGGGCGTTTGACTCAGACTGGCCGCACGGATCTTTCCGGTAAGCTCGGGAGAGGAGCCCCCCAGGAGCCCTGTGTAAAGCTCCCGCCTAGGCCTCTCTTCCACGGTACCATGTTTGCAGGTGGCTTGGCAAATGCCAGCCATGGAGTAAATATCACAGGGCACAGGCTTCCCGGGGCCCCCTCCCTGGGCTTAGCCCTGGGCACACACTCCCCACCTCTCTCCCACCTGCCAGGCTCCCCCGGGGGTGAGAACAAGCAGACAAAGGCGGCAACGCCCAGGTCTGCGCCCCTCTGCCCCTCTCCGCCTACACTGACGCGTTTTATTTCAAACTAAGATCTGCACCCCGTTACCATTTGGGGGAGGAGGCACTCCTGCCAAAAGCCCTGTGTGATGGAAGGGCATCGTGGGCGCCGCACCGTCCTGGGCAGCAGGCCACACATGGTGATGCACCTGGAGGCCCAGGGTCCCGTTCACACCTTCCTTTCGCAGAGACCCCGTGTGTGTGTGTGTGTGTGTGTGTGTGTGTGTGTGTGTGTGTGTGTGTGTGTGTGTGTCACAGGGGATGCTGGCGTCTGGGGGACTGAATCAAATTCACCGCCAGGCCTTCCTCATCTCCCACCCGGACGCCTGGCAGTCTGTATTCATCCTTCACCCCACTGCCCCTCAGGCCGGGCCCTCTCCTGAACTCAGCCGCTGGGACCCCAGGAAAGGAGGGTGGCCCCCACTGTGCCTCCTGGGCAACGTCACTGCGTGGGACCTCCCAAGACACCCAAGTTGACCCTCTGGGCCTGAAGGCAAAGCTGGTGTAAGGCACGGTGGAGAGACCCCCGCCCTGAGCATCAGCACGGCTGGATCGAGTGAACTGTGGATAAACAGATGACGCGTCTCCCCACCATTACTGATTGTGTGTAAACAAACACAAACATTCCCATCTCGCTGCGATTTCAGTGGTAAGGAAAAGAGGCCAAGAGAAGAATTCACTCAAAACCACGGATTTGATTAAAGGACCTTATCAAAGCCTGTGTGCAAGCGGCCAGCGTTCTCCCCAGGGCTGGCGTTACCATGGCTTGGGGGAGAAACGTTTGCGAGCTGCAGAGCCGACGTGCACTCCTACTGCCACGTCCCCAAAGTGGGAGGAAGCTCAGGAGAGCAGATGCACCGGTATCCATCTCATGAACATGCTCGGCCAAGCTTTGTTGAGGACCTACTATGTGCCTAAGCCAGTTCAGGGACCTACTATGTGCCTAAGACAGTTCTCAGGGCCCAGACCAGAGTTGGACACTCCTCACTTACCATGCGGGGCCCGCAGCATCCCGTCAGACAGGGTGGCCCCCATGCACATCGGCTCGGTGAGGACGGGGTCTCGGCTCCAGGCAGCTTCCAGGCCCCCAGGCCCCAAGTTGGAGTAGAAGGTAGTGCCCCTCCCCAGGCTAAATGTGTATGTTTTTGAACTAAGGGACATGAGCTGGACTAAGTGAAATCATGGTGTTAAAAAAGCAAGAAACTCACCCTAAACCAGGATGGAGGTGGGAGGCTGGGCACGAGACACCAGGTGGCTGTCGGGAAGGTGGGCTTGGTCCAGGGCGGTGGTCCTCGGGAGCTCTTCTGACTCTTCCATTGGTTCTTCAGCTGACCCAGCCCAGGGTCAGCCTTGGGGAGGGACAAAAAGTTAAAATAGGGCAAGGCCAGCACCCCGGAAAGCCACAGGCACCCCAAGAAAAGACTCAGAGCCCAGTCTCACCTGAAGTCTGGTTTTCGGTGGGGGGAGGTGGCTCACGGGGATGAGCAATGGCAGAAAAAGCCACAGGGCTGGGGTGACCTGGGGTGGGCAGGGTCCGGGACTCACAGGGACAGGGCAGGCCATGGGATACCTGCTTGGGCACAATGACAAAGCGTCTGTGGGGGAAAGGGGCAGGACGAAAGGTCCAGGCAAATGGGAGTAGACATTTGAGTATGGTGGGAGAGGTGGCATGCCAGCAGGGGCTTATCCTATGGGCACTGGGGACCTGTTGGTAACCTGGGCAGCACTAAGAAAAAGCTCTTTGGGCTGAGGGAGGGTTATCTGGACCCAGAAGCAGGGCCAAAGGCAAGCAGGTGAGAGATGGGTGAGGCAGCAGGCAGGGCCAGGTAACCTCCCTGTGAGGCCCAGAGGGTCATAAGCTGGGTAACTGGGGCAGAGAAGGGGGGGCAAGCAGAGCTCCAGGTGGGCGACCAGCCTAGCTGGTGGAAGCCAGGGGAGGAGCGCCAGGTAGAGTAGACAGGTAGGCAGCCAGGCAGAGGCGGAGCCTACAGAGCTCCCTGGAGGTTCCCAGCCACCTGTCCTTTGCAGAGGACAGTCTCCAGCCAAGGAAAGGAGCTGGATTTAGCCCCAGGGGGAAGAAGGTCTCGTGGAGGGAGGGGTCCAGCCCACGGGCACCAACTCAAGAGGGAGACCTGTATGGCCAGAGCCTGAGAGGACACAACCACGGGACGCTGAACAGCCATCGGCAGGCATTCAGCTCCGGGCTGAGTGTGGGGGTCAGAGAGGGCAGGAGGGGCTGGTTGCGTTCAAGGTCACCGACCAACTGGCCCATGGAAAGCAAACCAGGCCGGCCCCTCGCACTGTCCTGCCTGCCTTCTACAGAGCAGTCTCTGCTCCAGGGCTGGGACAGCCAGGCTGCGCTCAGCAGCGGCAACCCCCCGGCCTGCGCTCCCGGGGCAGAGGCCATCAAGGGACCGGCTAGCGTGGCGGGTGTCCAGCCCGGAGCCGGGCTGTGCATTGGCTCAGTAAGGATCAACTGTTGAATGAAGGATGGGCGCGTGAGTGAATGAAGGGGCAACACCGGCAAGGCCCCTGCTCAAACAGGGCTCCTCCCTCAACAGAAATCCACCCTCCACCCTTTTGACCTACATCTAACTAAATCCTAGCATCCCAACAATTCCTCTAGCAGCCGAGGTCCTTCATTGACTCACCTGTCCAAACATACATCCCACATACTTTCACAGAGCCCCACTTTGTGCCAAGCAGGAGCTGGAACACCCAAGGGAGGTGTGGGCTGGCCTAGGGCACCCCCAGAGCACTGGGTTAAGAAATGTTAATGGAGGGTGGAGGAAAGGGCATGAAGAACAGAGGTAGGAACAGTGAAAACAGAAAACCAGAGCCCAGAAGAGTTGGAGAAGGGAAGAGCATCTCCAGGCCCCACTCATTCCCTAGTTCCCCACACGCTCCCACATCTCCCGAGCCTCCGAGCTGGACTTGACAGATGTGAACAGCAGGCTCTGGAGGTCACAGGCCAACACAGGAAGCCATCCAAGACCTCTGGACTAGAAGAGTAGGACGCAGGGGTCCCCCGTGCACAGGCACACAAGAGGGTGCCACCCCTACACTCAAGGGAACCATGAGCTGGGGCCCCTCTGCTGGTGAACACAGAAAAGCTAAAGTGGACCGGCTGGTGTCCAGAAACCCAAGCAGGACCAGGTGGGAGAGCCGGGTTCCCCAAGGGCCAGGCAGCTGGGGCTCCAGGACAGAGCACAAAACCCCCAAGATCCTGGCCAACGAATGCCTCCTGCCCCTCCCCAGGTGGTCAAATGCTGGGATATGGATGAGCCTCAGCTTGTATTTTAATTATCAGTATGAAAAAAAAATTATCAGTGTGTATTTGAGGTGAGAAGGGTCCTATGGATTATTTCTTTCCCTATTTAAAATCACCAAAAGTTGTTCTATTATTTTACTCTAGTCTGGGCAACATCTGGGTCACCTCCCAAAAGTGGAGGCCCTTCAACGTTTCTACTGGGGAGTTGGATGAGCGCTGGCCTTACTAACTTGGGAAGAGGGTGGAACTCTGATCCACACCTTCAGCTTACAGGTAAGTGCGAGGCCATTAAGTTTTCTGCTCATCAAGTTCTCTTGCTCCAACCGCTTTGCTTCCCTCTTAACTTTTCTCCATTTGGCTGCAGGTCTGGCCAGAGCCTGAAGTTTAATGGATCTAATTTTATTGACCTGCCTCGGGGGTGAGAAATGTCCAAACTCGAGACACGGGGCAAGTTTCAGGCTCTGGGCATAACTGCTGCCATAAACAGGCTCGGGGGAGTCCAAGTACCCGCACAGAAGGGGGGTTTGGGAGGGACACAGGACCTGTGAGGGGGGATATGACAGGTTCCAATGCAGGATCTATTGTCAAGTCCCCTCTGCGCTTGGCTCCCTGTGACCTTAACAAACCGCTGGTCTCCTCAGTATGTGGGACCTACATGTGAACCCCAAACCATACCCTTCCATGGGGGTGCCTCTGCGATAATCCCGTGGGTTCTACACCTGTGACCTGGCACTTGTCTACCACCTGGTGACCTCACTTTTTTCATGTTCAGTGGGTCCTGAAACAAGTCAGGTGCGTGCTGGAGTAGGAACCATGCACCCCCTTTTCCTCAGCTCTGGCAGAGTGAACCCCGCAGGCAAGCAGGCAGGCATCCCCAGGCCCCATGCATCTGCCTGCGGGGCCCAACAAAGAAACTTCCTATAAAGCAGCGGCCTTCCGCTCAATGGGCCTCGCCAAGGCTTAAATGAAGAGCAAAGGAAACCTGGGCTCCGGCCCCGAAATTACAAGGGTGGCCTCGGGGCCGTCGCCCCTGCCCTGCAGACGCCAGTTCACCTCATTATGATAATCAGTGTGTTTGTGCTTCACAGACAAAGGAGGCTCCTTAAGAGATGAACACTGGAGCCCAGCAGCTACCTCATTAGCGTCTGCAGCCTCTGCCTTGACAGGGTCCAAGACTGGCCCTGTGTTCATTAACGGAAAGGGCGGAAAGTGCAAGAAAACTGAAAAACACAGCTGGGGGGAGGGAGGGGCTCTTTCTGTTGGCCATTCATTCACTGAAAGGCTGCGTGGACCTTCAGGATTTAATCACCAGCGGAGGGGCCCAAGGGGAGGGTTTACCCAGGATGAAGGAGGTAAAGAGGTTAAACTTGATAGGAGTTAAGACCCCAAAACGGGGCAATTTGATTTGAAAGCTTCCTGGGATTTGTCACTGGGATAATTAATTTTAAACCTTTTTCCTGTTTATTTTAGCCCAACCCGACCCCAGAGGAAACCTTTCTCTGGCTGTGCTTTCGGGAGATGTTAATATTTCCTAAGCCTGCCCTTCCCTGCAGATTGTCTCTGGTGCCTCTCCTCGCCCTTTTCTTCTGGCTCCCCCGCACCCCCCCCATTTCTTTCTTCTCTCTGTGGTCCTCCCCGTGGGAACTTAACCTGTAAGAAAATCTGATGGCGACTCTTAATTGTATTTTCTCAAGAATACTTTTAACCACCTTATTTCAAATCCCTCAAATAGTGTCTGGTTCTTACCTGCAAGACGTCCCGCCAGACCTGCCTGCCGGGTTAACTGTTATTAACCCTATTTTGCAACTGAGAAAAAGTGGCCTGGAAAAAACTGACCCACCCCAGGGCCCTGCGAAGTCTACAGGGAGCTCGTGTCAACAGATGCGAACCAGGGCCCGAAAGCCACGTGAGAGAAGGCTGGAAATGTGTTCATGTGTCCCTGTGTCCGTGAGCTAGAAACGTGTCTGGGTTCAAGCTCCAAAAAAAAGTCATTACCTTAAGTGAGAGCCGCTCGACGGAGCAGAGAAGGCAGGAAGCAGTGGGTTGAAGAGGAAATTGGAGGTGAGGAAGGAAGACAGCGAGTGGAGAAGGCCTTTGGAGAAGCTTGGCTGCGAAAGGAAAGAGAGAAACGGTAGTGGCCAGACAGGAGGACAGGGGGAGCCCGGGGAGGCTCAGGCTGCAGAGAGAGCAGTTAGGAAATCAGAGGGTGTAGCCGGTGGCCAGAGGTGAGACAGAAGTGACCAGTGCACGACAACTCTTCCTTTACAAGGCAAGAGGCAATGGGTGCAAATGTGCTGTGGAACCCCAATCTGGAGGGCCCCTTAACAGCCTCCGCTCCCTTGGGAGGCGGCAGGCCAGCCCCGGGTCGGGACAGGGAGTTGTGAGGTTCAAATGATTTGAACAGTTGCAAAAAGGCCTTTGCAAACAGCAAAGGGAGACTCAACTGTTCGCCATAATTACTCGCTGGTAGTGGGAGGCTCTGTTTTCCAGCCCACTCAAATCTCACCGGGGCCTGGACTTCACTGACCGTAAATTATGCGTCCTTACATTAAGGATGTAAAAAGCAGTGGTAAAAGCTCCCGCTAGCCTCTGGAAGACAAAAGGTTCCCTCCTAATAGCCTGGATTAACTCGAAGCAGATCTCCGCCCACTTCATTCGTCACCTTCCAAGTCACCCTGCCACCTTCATTTGCCATATAATCCAATCAGGCCCTTTCAGAGGCCCGGGAGCTATTGTCTACACCAGGCCGGGCTTCTCAAAGCGGCCCGAGTGGTTTTTGTCTTGTCTGGACAAAACTGGTTGGCTTAAAAGGCGACGGAGAAAGAGTGCTGGCCAAGTGAGGGCCCCAATTAGCTTCCGAGACACTGTTTGCATCACCTTTGTATCCGTCACGTACCAGGCCTGGTGTGCTGGGCATATTGTCGGTGTTTCAGAAAAGGTTTGTTGAATTAATTCTGTCCTTACTCATTCTGAAATTTACTGACTGAGCGCAAACACTCACAGCACCTACTGGGTGCTAGCCCAATTATTAGGGCCAGGCATGCAAACAATCGGAGTGTTAAGGACCTTGCAACCTCCACAGCGATTTACAAAGCACTTTCATAGTTACATCATTTGGTCTCCAAAAGCCCCCCTGTGGGGTAGATAAAGGCGGGTGTGTTTTTTTGTTTTTTTTTTTAAATCCTCATTTAGACCATGAAAGGAACTGAGACCTGGAGAAGTTAAGCGACTTGTGTAAGGTCACCCCACTATTGAGGTGGAGCCAGCACATGGGAGCAGCATTGGGGCCACCCAGACCCCCAAGACCACCCTGGGCAGCTAGGATTTCAAACAGACTGTCCCGCTGTCAGATGCTTGATTAGAAATCAAAAGCTCTTAGTCTAACTCTGGGCCAGGGGGTAAGGGGTAGCTACAATGTCACCCAGGGTCCGACTCTGACCCCTTGTCTTTCCAGCAATGTGACAAAACACTTACATTCCTCCAGCCTCAGCGCCCTCACTGTGAATGTATGCCATGGGAGGGGCGCTCAGTCCCCACCCGCCTTTTTAAAATTACTCAAGTCAGGGCCGAATTAACTCCCATCTGTAAATGAGGATGCATCACCTCTAGGTCTGACACAGAAATAACACATTCAGAGAACATAGAAAGTGCTCTGGAAATGGCCGCATGCAGAATTCACGTCCCTGTGCAAGTCGGCCCATCACCCTGCGCCGCGGCGCCCCTACCTGTGCAGCAGAGCCCCGTGGGCAGGGGCTGGCGGAGCGCTGTGGGGGAACAAACAAGAGGCATGAGACAGGTGACACAGGTGGGCATGGACTGACCTACCTACCTTTCAACAAACGTTTGCTGACCGCCTCCTCTATGCCCAGCCCTACCCTAGACTAATTTAGTTCATTTAATACTCACAACAACCCTGGGAGGTTGCTCTCCTCGTCACCATTGCCCAGAAGGGACACAGAGGTCCCAAAAGAGGCGGGGATGCCCACGACGTCAGGGCTCATGCTCCCCATTCCAGAAGCCAACCTGGGCCTTGGAATTGCCAGCGTGATGCTGGCGGGGCCCTTGGCCCAGGTCCCCCTCCTGAGGAGTTCCCAAAGGGAACCTTCCGTTCAGGACATCATATGGGCAGCAACAGGGTCAGCTGAGAAAGACTGACACCTTCTTGGGGAGGGAAACACTCCAGGTCGCTGGCACATTAACACAAGCAGAGACTTACAGGAAATTATTCATAGCAACAGGCACAAGCGTAGCAAAGGTCAGGGGGTTAGTGCCCAATGCCCCCTCACTAGGGCATTGGTCTAAGTCTTTAGCCCAGAGGAACAGCTGGCCGGTCAGTTCTGGTCCTCTTCAGCCTCCATGGTCCTGGTCCTGGTTCTGGTCCTGGGGGGTCTCTGCCAGTGGCTGCTTGGTACGCTGGTGGGACCCAGGGATCGGTGCTCCTGGCATCCTCTGCAATTGATCAAAGGTTAGAGGGCCCACTTAAAAGCCCAAGTCTAGGTATTAATTAAAATTTAAATGAGTTAATTACAACTAAAACTAATTAGTTAAAATTTAAAATTGTCCTTTAATTGCTAATGGGTCTGGGTGGGGGGAGGAGGGTGGCAG